AATCATGTTCAATATGACCATCTACCAAGTCATTACCAATCTTACCTGACAGAATTCTCCAACAACATTGAGCCATCTTCTTTCAGGGAAGCATCACAAGTTAATCGATGGATTGGTGCTATGAAGCAAGAGATACATGCTCTTGAGGACAACAATATATGAGTAGTAGTTGACTTGCCATCAGGGAAACAACCAATACGCTCAAAATGGGTTTACAAGATAAAATATAAGGCTAATGGGGAAGTTGACAGGTTCAAGGCTAGATTGGTGGCAAAGGGCTACACACAACAAGAGGGTCTAGACTACCATGAGACCTTCTCTCATGTTGCCAAGATGGTTACAGTCAGGACTGTCATCAGCTCAGCTGCCTCTGAAGGATGGATTCTCTATCAGATGGATATCAATAATGCATTTTTGCAAGGAGACCTCATGGAAGATGTATACATGGACTTGCCACAGGGATTCCATAGGCAGGGGGAGTCCAAAGTATGCAAGCTATTGACATCACTATATGGATTAAAGCAGGCATCAAGACAATGGAACATCAAGTTGTCTAATGCATTGCTCACTGTTGGATACTCTCAAAGTGCCTATGATCATTCTCTGTTCACAAAAAGGGGAGATGGCAGAAACATAGTGATAATTCTTGTATGTAGTCCCGAGTTTGTTTCTCCCTCGTGATTGACACCTTGGTACGTTTGAACATCAGACTTTGGGGAACATCGACCCCTCCGATAATCATATGATGATGTGTTGAGGTTCTTCTTGCTCGTTTTGTTTATTGGAATCCTTGTTTCTGAAATGATTCTTGGCTCAATCACTTAGAAACTCCCGAAGGTGCCCGTCGTTGAATAACCTGACTACTTCTTCTCTGAATTATCGACAATCTTCCGTTCTGTGGCCATGGGTGCCATGATATTTGCACATTTGGTTGGGATTTCTCTGGGCTGGATCGGTTTGTAAAGGTCGAGGCCATTTGGTATCTTTGATGCGTCCGATAGACGATACGATGCCGACTGCGTCAACATTAAAGTTATATTCTATTAATCGTGGTGCCTCTTTAGGTACGATAGGCCTGTCGAAGCTGTTCTTACTCATAAGCCCTCGAGAGCTCTAGCCTCGATCACCCCTCCTTTCATTTCATACAGGATTTCGCCCAGATCCGCTGCTCCTACGATCTCCATTATATGACTGATACTGATCCCTGTTCAACCTCGATTCTCGGTCAATGTCCCTCTTGATTCTATCAACGGTCCTTGATAGAATAAACGGACCCGGAAGGAGCTCCAAGCTGGTCATCTTCGACCCTGATCTTTGATTGATACCGATTGTGCATATCGGCCTAAGTAATAGCGGGTATTCTATCAAATTCTGCTTCAACTGTTGTGAAGCCACTGAACTTCGAACATTGAGTCCTTGGGTGAAAGCTTGAACAACCCAATCATCGGCGACCGGTGGCAGATCCATTCGTTCCATTTGGAATCGAGACACGAATTCTCTGAGCATTTCGTTGTCCTTCTACCTTACCTTGAAAAGGTCCGACTTCCTGGTTTTGACCTTGATGACCCCAGTGTGTGCCTTTACAAAAGAATCTGCAAGTATAGCAAACGAATCAATAGAGTTAGGTGGTAAATTGTGGTACCATATCATAGCTCCCTTTGACATGGTTTCCCCAAATTTCTTTAGCAAGACAGATTCGATCTCGTCATCCTCTAGATCATTCCCTTTGATAGCATATATGTAAAAGGTGACATGCTCGTTTGGGTCGGTCGTTCCATTGTATTTAGGAATCTCGGGCATGCTGAACTTCTTGGGAATCGATTTGGGAGCCGCGCTCAAGGGGAAGAGTTTTTGCACGAACTTTTTGGAATCCAGACCCTTCAATATTTGTGGTGCCCCCGGGATTTGATCGACCCTGGAGTTATAAGTTTCCACCTTCTTATCGTTTGCCTCGATCTTCTTTTCCCCAGACTCAACTTGTTTTGTCAGTTCTTCGAGCATCTTTATGATTGCACGATCGGACTCCAATTCCTTCTCGTTCGATTTCCTTGAAACCGATTCGACCCTATGGACAACTTCTTGGGACGGCTCGGGCTCGATCTTGCTCGCTGGGTGATTCTGGTTTTGGAGCTGGGCTATCGCTGCTTGTTGAGCCTGCAACATTTCGAAGATCACCCGCAGGCTAATCCCGCCCTCTTCGCCGCAACGTGTACTTTGAGCGGCTGATCGAATGTCTCTACGGATGCTATTCTCGGGATCGACGGCCAAATTTGTATTGATGGCAACATGCGAGCTGACGTTAATTGGATCTACAGCCGGAACTCTATCAAGGCCAACTGGAGGTATGTCGTTCCCTGGTGCTATGTTATCATTTTCGCCGTGGTGACTAAAATCATTGTCCACGTGTAGAGGTGTTGACTTAGAGTTCGACATTTTGGTTCTAGAATCAAAGATACTCCAAAGAACAAGTGTAAAATAGTGTGTGATGAAAGTTTGTACCAGGTAATCACTATTATCCTTAGTCCCACGGTGGGCGCCAAACTGTTTACCCTAATCGGATAACAATTGAATTTATACGCGGTTTTATGGATACGTGATATAACTTGATACAAATTAAGGAACACAGATTAAAATTGAAATTGATGATAAAAGAATTAATGCAAACCACACGAATCGAGCAGCCTTATGCCAAACTGTTTATCAAATCGAACAGCTTTGGCCCTCGAGTTCGATCACCCTTGATCGGAGAGATGTCTCAACTAATGTATGAACAGAATAACAAGATGATAAAAGCTAGAAAATAACAGTATATTGCTTTATGTTGCGTAATGTATCCCTTTACAAATGCTCAGACTCCCTTTATATAGTAGGGGAGTCCTACTCTCGATACAATTCTATACAAGGTAAGAAATCTCATGATTTGCTAATCAATCGGCCTATCCTTGATACGTGCTGAGATTTCCGCTGTGATCTATAACCGATCACAGATATTTTGTCCTTCTATTATTCGGCTTGGTAAATTTTTCTCGATCTCGTCTAGTCTCGATTTTGTTCGATGACATGGTCTCGAGTTTAACGATATAGCTTCGCACCTCGGTTTGAAATAATTCGAGGTTGAACTTTAACCTATCATTTTTCAGTTTCGATTAGTCGCACAAGAGGCGAACCCGATTTTGACTGTATACAGTAACAAAATGGTAATTCGCCTACAACCCTACAAAACAACACGTGCCAAAACTTATAGTAATAAAATATTACGGGAGGTAAGAATCTTAGGATTAATTTCAATAGCACGTTCCAAATGTCGGACAATGACCATGGCTTCCTAAGTCCTAACCATGGAATTACTTGTACGCAAGGGAAGATGAACACAATAAAAAGGTTTGTAACACTGCACATGGCTTCGCTTAATTAACTTGAAAATTTATCTATGGTTTGAATTTAGTGTTCAATATTTCTATTACTGGTAACCTCTTGCAGATGCATAGGCTCATAACATGACCTTCTAGTTATAAAAAATACAATTATGGTCTAAACGAATTAAGGAGAGAAAAATAAAAAATGCAAAGACAAGCCATATGCTACTCATGTGCCAAATCGTTAAACAATGTGTCGAGTTTATACGGCACTTTGAACTTTGAACAAGTTGCTTCGAAAGATTAACTTATATACACTAATTGTGTAAAAAAAAAAATTACACTATCTGTGTATTTTAATATATATTGTAGCATATGATATGTTTTATTTTTTAAGTTATCAATCTCACTTTTTATGAATAGTGTTAATTACCTATAATCATCTTTATGATTATACTCTTCTAGATAATATAATCATGTAAAAGAAATTTTATAGATAGTAGGATATTGATACTAAAATCTTCGTTCACCTCAGGGTTACATAATTTCGTAAAGGAAACGAACTGGTTTTTTTGTGGCTACATATGGAGATATTAAATATTAATCTCCTGTGTTTGCATTTTTTCGTTGACCATTACTTTATGTTTTTGAGAGTGTCAATTTAATTAATTATCACAGTGACATTGGACAGGGATAAACTGATCATTTTACACAAAACTAAAACTTATGAAATATATAAACCACAAGAAAAATATCATATGTTCGAATATTATTATTTTTAATTATACACACATACACTCTCGTCAAATCTTAGTGTTGTTACAATTCCATCGAGGTGCCAATTGTTTAACACGAACATTTGGCCATGAGAGGAGAAAGTTCAGCTGAAAGCTATGAGAAACGTAATGATGTGAAGTGATTACAACATGATTTTGCTGTTTCAGTATTTCAGGAATACAATATTTTTGGAGGGTTTTCTGTGACAAACGAAATGATTTTGACATCTTCAAATTATGTTATCTCCGTGAATTATAATTTACTTTTAACTAGTTCCATTTTACATGATATTGTTCTTTTTTTTAAAGATTAAAGATATATACTTTTCACCAAAATTTTAGTAACAATATTTTGTACTAACATAACATTGTTGAGTTTTATGAGCAAAAACTTTTCTTTGACATTGTTAATCGAGGTCCATAGAAGAAACAACATAATATCCACTCGGTATGATATAAACACAAAAGAAAAAGAAATCATTGATAACGTAAATCAAACAATTTTTTTTTAATTTCATCATATATAATATATACACCAAGGATGTTGAAACTAGAACGAGTCTAAAGCTAGGGGGAGAAACCAGCCTTAATTTTTTCCTTCATTTTCTCAAACCACCATCTATTTTTCATGACTACCCATTTCATTTAGGTAGAAAAATCATTGAAATTATAATTCTTCTATTTTTTTTTCAACCATTCTTTTCCTTTTTTCATAATTTACAATTAAAGATTTAATTTTAGGCATGTGAAGATAACCCTCCCTCTAATTCATTTATGATTGATAGATATTAATTGACCTTTCTCACATCAACCTTTCTCAACTTCCTCATAAATAGAGTATACAACTACTCCTAACTTCATCTCAACCTTATATATACACCATCAATTTCAAGATCCAAAAATCTAAAAAATCCTTGAACTCAAAAACAGTCAAAAGGAAATCAATATGGAACCACATTTCTTAGTTCTTATCCTTTATTTCCTTCTCTTTTTCATTGGTAAGTATTCTTTAACGCTCTATATATATAGTTCTTGTTTCTTAAAATGTAAATATACTATCTTCTCAATACTTATATATGATCTTACATACAGGTGGAGATGCTGCAGTTTTCACATTAAAAAACAAATGTAATATGAAAATATGGCCTGGAATTTTATCAGGAGGAGGTCATCCCTTACTAATGAATGGAGGTTTGCAGCTACAACCAAATGAGACTGCAGAAATCAAAGCACCTACTGGTTGGTCAGGTCGATTCTGGCCACGAAGCCAATGCAACTTTGACACCTCAGGTAAACACGAGTGACGATGACACCCTTTAGTAAGGGGTATCAAAATGATCGGAGGCGGAGTTAGGATTTGCACTTTATGGGTTCGAGATTATAATCCTTTTAAGTTACTGTGTTCTAAGTTAATAATTTATATATATTTATTAGATTTTTAGTATAAATACAGAGTTTGAACAAAAGCTAGTGGGTTCGACCGAACCCGCAACCAACGTTGTGGCTCCGCCCCTGGAAATGATATATGTGTGTGCGTGCGCGTGTGTGAAAGCACTTTCTAAATTTGAGCCAAATAATTATGTGAAAGCACTTTCTTATTTGACATGTGAATTGTTGGTCCCAATTACTAGAGGAAAGGTACAAATATGGAAGAAGAAATTAAAGGGAGATAGAAAAAGAAGGGCATTGCAGCTTTTATAGTGAGGGATCTGACTAATTAGAGAGGCATTTGACTAAGAGATGGAAAGAGTGAAAGACAAAATTGTTCATAGTTTTTACGTGCTAGGTTACTTTTAGAAAATGGAGAATTATACATGCGAATTTTAGCTTTAGTGCTAGTTTGATATCTTTATACTCTTAGATTTCTATCATTTTGTTTCGACTTTGTTTTATCATGTTCTTGTTACTACTTGTTGTCATTACTTCTTTTCATTCTTTCTTTAATTGAGGGTCTATTGGAAACAATCTTTTTGCCCTTCCAGGATAGGGGTAAGGCTGCGTACATTTTACCCTCCTCACACCCCACTTGTAAAAATTCACTGGGCATGTTATTGTTGTTGTTGTAAATTCTGTGTACGCCACTGCAGGTAAAGGGACATGTGCCACTGCAGATTGCGGCGGAGTACTCGAATGCAATGGTGCAGGTGGCAACCCACCTGCCTCACTTGCAGAGTTCACCCTTGATAGTCCTATGGATTTCTATGATGTTAGTTTTGTGGATGGTTTCAATATCCCCATATCAATTTACCCTTTAGGTGGATCTGGGAATTGTTCAAATGTCCAGTGTGTTTCAGACTTGAACTTACAATGTCCTCCTGAATTACAAGTGAAAACAAATAATGATACAGTCATTGCATGTAAAAGTGCATGCCTTGCTTTTAATAAACCAGAGTATTGTTGCACTGAGGAATTCAATGATCCCAACATATGCAAACCTACAAAGTACTCAGAAATTTTCAAGAAGGCTTGTCCAGATGCTTATAGTTATCCTTATGATGATGCAACAAGTACTTTTACCTGTAAGGGAGCTGATTACCTCATCTCATTCTGTTGACAATCTATATCAAGTCAATTTATTTATGTATTTATTATTAAAATTTTCTGAAAAGTTTGTGGATTCAAAATATACCCTATTGGTAGGGCAATATATGGATGAATTAATGAATTATGGGTAGTAGTAATAATAAATACATGAAAATCTTGTGGGTTCACAAGTGGAATGAGAAAATCATATTCCAGTTGTTTTGTATACAGATTCATCGTTAAAAAAATATTTTAGTTTATAATAGTATCTTCAATTCAAATGCCAACTCTCATTACAAAGATGTGCACGTGTATTTACGTATACCAGTTTGATCAAAATGATGGAGTGTATAATGAAGTATAAAATGAAGTTTTCATTCTGTGTCATAACTGAAAGCCACTATTTGTTTTTGCAAGGATTATCCTTCTTTTGTTCAAAGACTGGAAAACTAAAAAAATTTAGAATTATTTGGGTGGCTAAGAAGGTCAATCAGTTTAGGTATATGACAACTTTGCACTCAAAATGAAGTGGAAGCAAATTCATTAGTCTGCCTTTTCTATTCCAACAAATAGGTATTGATTATTGACATATCAACAGATGTTCATTCTGCTCAACTGTGTAGTCATTTCCACATCGACTCATCAAGTTACATTACAAGTTGGGCTAAGCCTAAACTTGGCTAGAGGCAATGACCCGCCCACCTAACTGAACCAAATACAAGCCCAAGTTTATCGAATGGGCCGCCCTCAAGTTCAATGCGGCAAAGTGCACAAATTTTCATTTTTAAGACCGATATTTAAAGAATAGTCAAAATTTACAAAGTATTTTTAAAAAGTTTAGCTATCTTATAATCAAATTTCAAACCTCGGGTCTGAAAATTTCAATCGTGGGGCTGAAGTTTCAAAGAAGTTTAAACTGTCAAATTTAATTTTGGCAGATCAAAATTCAAACATTCTATAGCAGTTTAAAATTTCATACCCTAAGTTCTGAAGCAGAAGGGTCTGAAATTTTCTAAACTTTAGTTTTTAAAAACTTACTATAGCTAATTTAATTCCGTCATTTAAACACCGTATCTAAAAGTCATCATCTCTCCCAGCACTCCCTCTTCCCTATTCAAATGATGCCAATTATAGCGAAAAAAATGACAGGAGTCTCCAAGGCAGGGAAGTAGTAATGCATGGAATAACTGCAGGAAGTCAAGATGTATACACTTACTATAGAGAAGTAAGAAAAAGATTTCCAGTGCTCCCTTAAGAAAGTGAAAGGACGCGTGTACTTTAATTGATCAGTATGTAATGTTTTTGGTTCGTTTTCAACTGCAAGTTACAATTTCAGGTATCAGGAAGTAAAAGCAAGAAAGAAACACAATCTTATGTGATTATGATACACAATGGAACACATCAAACTTATATCCCCTCAGAAGACAATGCCATACTTGTAAGCTCGTGAAAACCTACATGAAGAATGAAAACTATCTAATTCTACTGTAGCAATACTGTTCCAACTCAGGGATCAGTACATCTCTCTTGCTCATCAGTCCCACATGAAGGGAAAGAAAAGTATAAATGTCACAGAAAAAAGGGAACCAGACATCAAGAAGTGGAAGCCGTTGAGAGCTACAAGTGACCAAAAAAACTGATTACCAGATAATACCCACATATAAACCTCCTGGAAAAGATCAATCCTATGAAGATCTGCAACAGCTGTATGAGCTCCCACTTGGTACAGGTTCTTGGCCAGGAACAACAATTTCCTTTCCCCTGAGGAGAGCTGAACTCCCAGCTGAGTCTGCCTCATTGGCAACAAGGGATTTCTTGCTCACAACTCTATATATCTCCGTCAAGACATTAACAAACGCTGTCTCAACATTTGTTGCTTCTAGGGCCGATGTTTCAATAAAGAATAGGTTCTCCTTCTCAGCAAACTCTTTGGCATCCTCAGTAGGTACAGCACGAAGACTAACCAGGTCAGTCTTGTTGCCTACAAGCATGATGACAATGTTCTTATCAGCATGGCCCCGCAGTTCCTCCAACCACCTAGCAACATGATCAAAGGATTGACGTTTGGTGATGTCATAGACCAGCATTGCTCCAACAGCACCTCGATAGTATGCACTTGTTACTGCCCTATATCTGGAGCCACACACCAAACATAAGTTTTGAGACCCAAAAGGGCACATAGAGCATCTGGAAAATAGCAGCCATTTTCTTGCGACAGGCACAAGCATAATCATGCATGACCATAATAATGCACGTATATAGAACAACTACTAAGTTATGCAGAGGACATCTTTTTATATTATTAATAGGTAAAGGGTGTCCCACATCAGATTAGTAGTTACCAGACTATGTCGAATTGTCAACTATCATTTAGAGGAATACATTGTGCTTCAGTTTTTTTTCCTTTTTGCAACTCTTTCCTCACTTCACATTCATGTTTGGTATCAAAGCATTTCTACGGGCATTCAGTCATCAATCACCACACATATTGCCTTTGGGACTCTTAATTTCTCTCCTGAGGGGGGCATAACCTATAATCAAATGGTTAACAAGAAAACACCCAGAGGGATCATAGTCCAGATTTTTAAACTGCACCAAGCATAAGTGTTTAGTACATTCAGTTCAGCTCTCTACATTCCTGAATTCAGTATGAGATTGCAGTTATATTAAAGTTTTATATCTTCGGCTGCATATTGAAATTCCATTTTCTTTCTTTTCTTTCTTAGGAGGGTACTCATTTCACACACGAATACAAAACCTACAAACAGGACTGAACTTCTTAAGCATTCTGATGTTCATTGCACTTGACTGGTCTCACAAAGAAATATCTTCCAGTCTTCCACATATGGTTGTATTATCTTTTCTTCTTTTTTTTATGAAAAAAAAATTGATTTTTAGACATTCTACACCAGATGTCATGTATTCACAGCCCCTCAAGGCACAAATACATTCTCTCCTTTCGAGGTGATATGGAATGCTGATAACAATGATACCTGCAGCTATCCTGTAGTCCTAAAAAGAAAAGGGAAGTAGAAGTTATAACTACCATTTTCCCCAGAATCAAAGTTGGATTGTGTCACTGTGGTTATATTTAATTATGCATGGAGTTGTCGTTCAGTACCAGCACAGATTGTCTTTAGCTACAGTCCATTTACCTGACTTACGAATGCAAAACTTATAATCCAGGGGAAGGAGTTCCCAGGATGACATTAAATTATGTGAGAATTTTAGGTAGCCCAAACACCTGCCCACTCTGTGTTTGGAAAAGAAACCTACTAATAGCTACCTTTTAGAGAAATTTATGAAGTTCATAAATCTAAAACCAGGGCAGCAGAAACTGAGAACTTAAAATAACCAAAGAAAATGGTAAAGAACTTGACAACAACCAAATTAAACAAGTCAAAGAAATAAAAAAGGAATTCTTGCCTCAACTCCATAAAGATGGAGATGGCAATGAAGGTAATGATATATATGCTCTTAATTTAATAGCTATGGCCATTCTTGACGGCCATTCTTGACTATAGCCATTCTTGACATCCAAGAACTTGATAAAGAGGGATATAACTCATATAAGTTGGTTTTTGTGTGCAAGAAATCAGTGAAGATGTGAATGACTTGCTAACTAGAATTTCAAGCAACTAATGCTTACATTAAGGTAGGTTGTCTACATCACACCCCGGACCCTGCGTGAACGCGGGATGCCTTGTGCATCGGACAGCCGCAAATTGTGGAGTAATTTGGAATATGTTGGGTATCGAAAGATTAGTGCCATATTTTGTTATAAGTTTGCTACTAAGTTAGGTATTCAGAAGAAAAAGGAGGATGAGTAGAGCGGAGGAAATGGTTCCTTTGGCACTCACTTGGAAGATTTAGAAAGCAAGGAAGAAAATACCTGTTGAAGAGGTTGAAAACTCTTTTGTACATAATAGAGGATCATTTATGTTTCCGGACTTATCAAAAAAGAGGATCATTTACGTTTTATGTAGAAATTTCTCGAAAACCTATGAAATTCCAATTAGTATAGATGATTGGGACCTTTTTGTAGAGGATCACATTTTTATCTAGATCCTCTACTCTTGCATGTCATTTTATATGGAGTTATCCCCAATTAAATCAATAAAATGCACCCTTTATCAACATAAGAACTAAATTTGGAAGGTAAATCAAACTACGGATTGATACAAAATGAGTAAGAAAAAGATAATAAAGAATCAAATGACCCAACGCAGAATATGAGGCGAAGCATTAGATGTATTAAAAAGGGGCACTCCTTTACAATCTCAAACAATGCTAATCTAATTGGGGTCAATTATATGATTCCTCAATATCGACAATTCCGAGCTAAATGGGACTAAGTAATCATTTTGCTCAATTTGAACCCGTTTCATTCCAATACTCCATATTTTGGGGTTCACAGTTACTTGTATATCCCTTCTAAAAGACAAAGTTCTTATCAAATAGAGAAACATATCTGATCATAGCTCGAAAAGAACACATCTAAGTGAACATATCAGAATACAGTCTTTTAAGTCTCTGTATAGCATAACAGAACCGTTTGATCAAACCCATATCAAACAAATACCAATTATATAATTCACAGATCAAAAGTCGACAATTTGGAATAAATCACTATCACCGCGAAATATTAACAGATCTTACACAGATATGAAGTTCAAAATTACCTTTCTTGACCAGCAGTGTCCCAAATTTGAGCCTTGACAGTCTTATGATCGATATCTAAAGTCCTCGTCTGGAATTCAACACCGATGGTGGCCTTAGAATCAAGATTAAACTCATTCCTCGAAAACCGGGCCAATAGCTGCGATTTCCCAACCGCAGAATCCCCGATCAGCACCACCTTGAACACGTAATCTATCTTCTGATTGAAATCCCCTCCATACAACTTCGACATCTTCCTAAGCTTCCACTATTCTTTATTGTAAACAAACCCGATCGATCAAATCGATCGGTTAAAATGAACTCGCAGTGCTATTTCATAAACTTAAGACGTTCAATTTGTCGATTTAATATACAGACAAAACAGAGAGACAATCGAAGTTCAGGGGGTTAGGGTTTAATGGAAAATGGGAAAGAAATGAAAATGCAAGTTGTAAAGGGGTTTATATATAGATTTTTGACTGAGTAAATTAATCAATAGTTGGGAAAGGCCATATAGGCAAAGGGAATCGGCTGTTCGGTGGTTGTCAGGTTGGAGGGAATGAACCGCGTCCTCCACAATCATTAACGGCTTCGCGCCTCCCCTCTAAC